CCCCCCCCCCGTCTCCCCCTTTCTCCCCTTCTCTCCCTTTTGCCTCTTAGGGGGATAGTGATGATGCCGACCCCAGGGATGCCCCCTTGACCCCGAAGGACCTGGCTGCCAGATCTGTGGGGAGGATGGCCCTCTCTCCCTCCATGATGACCCCTGTCCTATCTGGGATAAGTTTACACACACCCCCATCCCAGAAAGGATGCCTTCTGGGCCCAGCTGTGAAGGCTCTTGGGGTGGAGAGCCTCCCATGCGCCCCCCTCATGCCACCCTCTCCTTTATCTCCTCTCTCTGCAGATGGGCAGGGACTTCACTCTGTTAAGCAATGCAAATTTCCAAAGGCTGCCATATGAAGTAGCAGTGGTACTCGCCAGGCAGTCCTTCCAGGGGTTTCTCTAGGGTTGGCATCCCCTGGCATCCTCTGATGGAGCCTCCCTCCTCTGGCCTCCAGGAACCAAGAAGAATAAAAGCAAACTGGGTCCAGGTCTCTTTGGGTGCTGGGGGGCGAGGGAGAGGCTCTCTTTAGGCAGAGAAGGCCATTTGAGGGTCTTCGGTTGGGCCACCTCTTGCTAAGCCTGGCAAACGTCCTCCTGCCCCCTCTGCCCCTTCCCCCTTTCAATGGGAGACCCTCCCCAGATCTACAAATAAAGGCCCCCCACCCCTTATTCCTTCCTTCTCCAGGGACCTTCCTCTTGGGCAAAAGGGGGAGACATCCTCCCACTGACATTCCAAGAGAGGCTGCTCTTTGGCCAAGGGATCTCCCCGCTTTCTTGAACCCAGGTCCACTGCAGAGCAACAGAATGGGAAGGGGCCTTTCTTGGAGGGAGGGGGCAGACTGGTGGGGGGAGAAGGGTTGCCTTCTTTAGGATCTTCTTGGGTTTCCAAGGGAAGAGCTGGGGCCTGGGAGCATTTCACACACTAAGGACCATCCAGACTTGCTCACAGCTTAGCCCTGAAACACACAGAATTTTCCTGTTTGGAAATTCAGGAGGACATCTTAGCTAAAGGAGCCATTCCCATCCCAAAGTGGAAGGAGGAGATTTTCCTTTTTATTTATTTAGGGAGATATGAAAAG